AAAACTAATTATACCTTTTTGTTAAGATAATATTATATTTTATATACTTATATAAAATTATTAAAAGTTTTTTTAGCTCTGAAACATTAGATAACATTTTTCTTTGGTTAGTTATTAAATTGTTATTGTTTTTTTTTAATTTGAACTCTAGGACGCTTGATCAAACATGATCACGAATTTATCTCTACGCCCATATTTAATCGTGCGTGGTATTCTTCAAAATTTGATATCAATACTTTACACGATATGGGAAGACGTAGACAAAGATAGGAGTGCTCATTGTCTAGTCAGTATTTTCACAAGTAACCGATGAGCATTAAATATCCGTATTGAGCCAATGAATATTTGTGGGTAGTATAAGGGTGTCATTGAATAGAGGTTACTCGATTTTTTGAGTAATTTGTTTAATAATGCTTATGTTTATGAGCCTGATTGAGCATTGAGCGATTTTTAGTAGTCAAATGCTCGAAAAATTCATTCTTCCAACTTCCCTTAATCCTCTTTCTTAATAGTAAATTTTTATGATTTCCCGGGATTACATACTATAATAATGGTGTAAACTGTGGGAAAGTAGAGTAAAATCGAAATAGAGTTGGGGGAGAACGAATTAGTAGTAGTAACCTAGAAAGTAAAAAGGCGCAAATGAAAAAAGACAAAAAGATAGTAAACAAGAAATGAGGTGATACTTGAGTGTCAAATGCAGAGAAGTTAAAGAGAGAGATAGTGAGAGAGAGATAGTGAGAGAGAGAGAGAGAGAGAGAGAGAGAGAGAACGAGCGAAAGGAAAGGTTAGAGTGAAAGAGGAAAGGTTATCGATTGATGCGCGTGGTCACGGGCTGATATTTTACATTTTGAGTTGTTAGCGCGAAAATAAAATGAAAAGTCAGCATCCTACGGGCATGTGGTATCATCGTCTTTTGTATTCTTCTTTGTAGAGTAACTTTTTCTTCCTTAAATATTCACTTTATTTTATACATTCCTCCTTCTCTTTCGACCTTCTTCACCATTGACATTCTACTTGTCCCTTAACTTTGTTGCTTCGTGGTCAGGTCAACAGGTCAGTCGACTATTATGTTCAGCTTCTGTGTGAATTCTATCGCATCAGTAAAAAACCTAGAACCTTAAGTGCACTATATTCTGCAATGGAAGAGATGAAAACTTCTTTGGGTGAATAGTGAAAAATCGTTTCTTCATAAAATATATACATTTATTATTCGTTGTAATTATGATTGTTATCTACAATGGGAAAAGCATTGAAATCTCCTAATTCGTGATTAAAATTAATATATAAAATTAAAATTAAAAAATGTTATTTTTTTTTTTTTATAAATAAATGTTTTGCGATTTATTAAGCATTATAAATAATAAAAAACCTTTTATTTAAATTTTTCATTGATAAATAAAACCATACAAAGCTTCTTTATAAATCAATTGTCTTTTTATTAAATTTATAATATATATTTAAATTGATCATACACACATACGGATTCATGCGCAAACACACACATATATATATATACATGCATACATACGTTATAATAACTTGTAGTATTAAATCAAAGATTTATTTTTAAATGTGAATTTCAAAAATTAATTATTTTTATGAATCATCGATCCTCTTCATAAATCATTAGATACACATATAATAAGATTAATTTTCCTTCGTACAGTTATTTTTTTATTACTTAATAACCTCTTAAAAATAACATAAATCCAGTACCAATGACGCAAAATTTTTTATTAATAATATATTTAGCAAAGAAAAATTACAATGTTTTTAACTGTATTTACAGTCGTGGAAATTGCCCGAGATTAAATGATCTGATAGATCATTATTAAATCACTGTTTTCTTTATATGTGTCTGGAACTAAACCGGCCTTCAGGTAAATTATTCAACTTGCTAGAGTTTGTAGAATATATTTTACTTACCCGGAAAGTAACCTTATTTCATCCTTATATTACAAGATAGTATGAGGACGACCTCGATTCTAGGACCCAATTATGAAAGTAGCGAAAGTCAAAGATGAAACGGGCAATACACTTATTTTCCTCCTATATTTTACTCGAGTCTGGTTATTGCATAATTTATTAACAAGTAGATACACGTATACGTGTCCGTATGTGTGGTTAAGAGAAGAGAGAGAGAGAGAGAGAGAGAGAGAGAGAGAGAAGTAATGATGACAGGGAATGCGTAAGCTAACGAGTATGCGAAAATAGGGAACAATATTAGCACAAGCGTCATTGTATAATTTCTAAAATTTATATTAAAAATCTATTATTAGTTTGGTTAAAAAATTTATGTCACTTTATGAACATAATAGGCTGCATTTTTATTATAACAATCGAACCAAATAAAAGTATCTTTTATTCTTATTAATTTTAATCGAATCATAATATGCATAATTTATAAGGATATAGATATTAAAAATAATATGGTATTCTTTCTAATGTTGTAACTTTCTATATTAATATTTTTTTAATGCCTATTTTGTATTTTAATGCCTAAATGCATATTTTACTTGAAAATCAGGTTTAATTTATTTTATACTTTTAAACTACATATAGGATTGAAAGTTATTAAAAAAAAAAAAAAAACATTTATAAGCAATATAAAATAAAAGAATTGATTTGTATAATTTATACAAATAAAATGAAATATTTATATCGGTTCTTCTAATATTTATATTGATAAATGTCTAATGAAATCAATACAAGGAATCCATTATTTTGAAATGTTTTATAATTTATTTTTATAATTGCTTGAATAGATGAATATAGTGGCCCTGATATAATTACAATATATTTTATGACATTTCATATAAAATCTGTTATATATGAAAGTAGCATGTATTATAGATGTACTTACATACAATATTATATAAAATATTTTACTCAGTATGTCAATTCACATACTTTTATTGATATTGTTTGGTCATTTTGCATTATACATCTTTGTAGTAAATAAGAAAAATCCTGTCAATGCTAGTAAAATCGAAAATCGTATTATGATTTTAATTTTTTTAAAAGAATATTACTTTTCTTTTAATTTTGTTTAACTTACACACGTGCTTGAAAATTTCCATGTATATTCATAACTGTAACAGAAGTATTCGCACTTCTTTAGACCGAAACTCATTATTTTGGATGACTGTATCGTTAATAATTAAACGACGGAACGTGCAATCTTTAGTGCGCCCACATATGCAATTGCATTACAGCCCTCTCGACCCAGTTTGTCACGTGCATTCCATACACTGCGGATGGGAACTTGCTGCACCGGTCTTTTTCCCTCACTCTCCAACTCGATAAGAAAGGAAAAAATATTCACTCGCCAAGATCGGATCTTCGACTATAGGTCAGTAATACTGTAAAGTGCAGCTGAAGGATAAGACCAGTATAGATGGGTTGTGAATACCAAGGACCTCGATCTTTTGTTTGCCTACCAATTGGATATGGTGTATCCTCAGGTTTCTCTTTTTATATTTATTTATTGTGCATTGAGAGAAGAAAAGTAAAAAAGTCATTGCGCTTACTTGGTTAATATTTTATTTATAACATTGATAAGTATTTCATTGTACAATATCATTTAATGTTTTAAATAAAATATTGCAAATACGAAGAAAACGTCATTATTTAATAAATACTAAAAACTTATTTATACTAAATATATGAATTTCAGATTAAAGCTATTCAAAATCATGAATAAATCTCAATGAATAATAAATTTCAGTTTTAAATTATATGCATTAAACATATGATGATTTTGATCTATGTTAGTTAACATTTGTGCGTTATGTAGGAAATCCAGGTTCATCAAATAATTGATTTTATTTTAATATGTTCGCTAGTAAAATTTACTCACCCAGATAATAAGTATATAATAATTTTATTGATTTTAATATATAAATCTTAAATAAAAATGAAAATTATACAAAATTATATAAAAGTAAATAATAAAGTAGAAATAATTATAGTTACTACTTTTTTTTTTTAATTTAAAATTGAAAAATCTTAGGCAAAATAATATATGTGCGTTTTAATTATGTGATGTTTTGATCAACAATAAAAATTTCAATTTTTCAACATAAATAATTTTATTCTTATTTATGCAATCAATACTTAATACTTTCAAATATTTAATATATACGTACATATAAATAAACAATTGCATCAGTTGTATTTTCTAATATAGCATTACCAATTTCCTATTAAATTGGTTGGATTTCTGAAATAATATAATTTATATTAATCATTAAAACTTTTAATAAACATATATTAAAGCACATTCCAATATTGAATAATTTAGATAGTTTATAATAAATATGCTTGATACTAAATTTTGAGTTAAAATAAATCTTTGTACAATTAGTCATTAATATAAATATAAATGAGTTTGTCTACATATATCAGTATATCTACATATGTAATTTTAAGGGAAGGTGTAATTACAATCATTACGTATTTAATAAAAATTCTCTAATAAACATAATAGCAGTACACTAGTTTTATTATCATATATTATTATTTTAAAGATTCATTATTTATAATGATTGCACAAACGAATGAATGCTTATTCGTAAATTGTATTAAAAGCTGAGGACGCTTGATGAATTCTATTTAAATAATTAGCTATAAAAATTACATTTTAATTCATGATTTATTAATATAAAATACTGAACTACAATGTTTTCAAGTTGATATATTTATGAAACGACAAATGTAGTATCCGCTTAGCTAAGGAAGGACAGAACCAACGTTTGAACCAAGTTCTATGGGATACCCCCACCGACCTACATATATGTGACTCTCCTATAAATGGCCTAGACAACGTCTAATCTGGCGTCAGTAAGTTTGTGCACTTGACCTTATTCGTTTCGTCTTTGCAATTATTAATCAAATTTTTAATGACAGGACAAATTTCGAAATGAGACAGTCTCGTATTAAACAATAAATAACGGTTCATTCATCATGAATTATAATAAATTTCTGAATATATTTTTAAACATTCAGTGAAATGAGAAAATCTTAAAGTTCATAAGTAGTAGAGATTATTTTACCATTGCATATTATGTAATTGTAATGAATTACTAATCTGATCCATAAAGTGTTTGAAGTAAAATTGATCGCAACGTAATAATGGAATTAAATAGAGGGAGAAAGAGAATGAACACAATGATAAAAATGTATTTGTTTGTTTACATTTTTTTTTTTGGTGCCGGAATATCGCTTTGTCATATGCCTGACAATCATAATTCAACTAATGTGTTTTTGGAGCAGTGTCGAAGGGATTGTGCAATTAATAAAAATATGATGCTCTGTGGGAAATATATCGCAGTAAAATGGATAAATGATGTTATACAAGAAAAGGTGAATACAATTATGATGTTATAAACATTGCGCAGTGTAATATTTATAGTATATAAGTAATACATTGCAAAATATAATATGTATAGTATAGTCGTTAAAAGCCCTTCATAACAAAAAATTTATTAAACTATTATTTTTAAATTTTTAAACAATTTTTACAATAAAACGAATTTTTTTATTTTTAAAGTAATTGATTGATTAGTATAATTTATTTGTTTAACATTACCAGTAGTTTAGTGTTTTTGTCAAAAGCAATGACATAAATTTGACGAATACATAGGTTATTTTCATACTATCATTAACACATATAAAAATGGAAGTATATTTTAAAAATTATAAAATCCAAAAATTACGAATTCACAAAGTAGATTTAAATGATGGGCTTTAAAGGTTTAAATATTCCTTGTCGGCGGGTGAAAATACACGACACGTTCATTCACTATCATTAACTACTAATTTCCCAAAGCAGCGACTAAGATACGGATGTTACACTATCTAATCATAATGCCAGGTTAACAGTAAAACAATAATTTAAAATTAAACTATAGTTTTAAGCTATAATATAGAAACTATAATTTTAATGAGTAAAATTTGATAAATTCAACAGGAAATGAACAACGACAATTTTGAATAATTTTCGTAATATTTTAATTATTTTTTTATTTTTTACCAATACTATAGTTTTATATCATAATGACACTTAATAATAATATTTAACATTAATTGACTAATAAACATGTTTATTAATAACTAGAAAATCATCATTATATTGTATTAATTTTATTATTATGAAATTATTAATTTTATATCATAATAACGTTTAATAATAATATTTAATATTAATTGAATTATAAAAGAGTTTATCCATAAATAGAAAAACATGATTATGTTTTATAATTGTATTAATATTATAATTATGAAATTATTAGTAGTACGTGGAGTAATTAAACACATAAATTAGATATCGAAAATTAAGAAAAATTCTGTCTGCATTAATAAATATTTCAATATAGGTATAAAATGGTTCTATTTTACTTAGCCGATTTACAATTATTTGTTTTATAATCAAGTTTAAAAACTAGTTTTAGAAAAAATTGTGTAGTGGTTATACTATTTATTATAATAGAAAGTATGAAAGTAATATGTTGACATTTACAAATATAATGTAGAATGCGAAAGACTATATTAAAAGTCTTGAAAATAGGTAATGAAAGAATTATTTGACAAATTGCATGGTTATTAAACTAAAAAAAAATTATTATTAATAAATTCTGAGTATTACAATCGTATTTAGTAAAATAATTAATTGTAATTCATTTAGTTTATTTTAATATTTACAATATATGAACAGTAATCAAAACTTATATTACACGCATTCCATAATATATGTCTTGTGTAATTATAAATATTATAAATTAATACTTTAAAATTTTATTAAGCATTTAGAGTTATAGGTATCAATATATATCAATTGTAGTTAGATTTATCAAGCCCGAATTAATGTAATTTTTTAATTTTAATAATTTTAAGAAGTCATCGTATAACATTAAATCATTCGTGACAACATTAAATAATGTGTGATTCACACGTTTACAGCTTCTATGATTGTATGAGAAATTTAATTCAATAATATATTTCATTCACAATTCTTTATCACATTATTATTTCATATGTTTATTATGCTTACATGCACTTTAATTTTAATATTGTACATACTCACTTACAGAAATTTCACACAATATAATTTTATTAAAATTTAACACAAATTTTAACAAAACATAAGCACATAAGCGAATGTTTTAATATTATTAATATTACTATATAATAATATTTCTTTTTCTTAAAATTTTGAACACATTATTGTAAGTTCGATGAATTTATAAAACACCAATTATTAAGGATTTAATTCCTTGATTTAAAAATGTATGTTTCTTTTTTCAGGAATATTCTTATGGACCATTTAAAATTATTAAAATACCTAGGATACAGAGTGGTCGACTTTTGCCTGAGGTACTACGAACGAAAACAAGTAATATTGCTGAAACACTGTATTTTATCAGAGAAGCAGCTGAAGATTTATTAACCAGACGTGCAATTGTGTATACCGTGGAGCAGTCGCCAGGGGCAGAAATTTTTAAAAACGGCCTCATGGTTTTAGATGATGATGAGCTTTCGCATGTGAGGAAAAGCAGGACATTCGAGGGTAAAGAATTTTCTTTAAATTGAATTTATATATCCATGTAATGTATAATTATCGTTTACTTATTCAGTTTAAAAAGTTATATTTGATAATTTTTTAATTCTTTATAATACAGAGCATGAACATTTTTATTTAAAATATATTAATTTTTAATAATAATGAATTGCAATGTAAATAAAAATGTAAAACAAAATTTCATTAAAATAATACTTAGCCTATAATTTTAAATTTTATAAATATATGTTATATAATAATTCTATATATGGTCTGTTTTAATTTGTAAGAAATTTAGAAACCATGTTTAAGCTAAATATTTTTATAAATCACCTTTTAATATTTAATAATGTTATGTTTGCAATAATGTATTATAATTAATTAAAATGTTTTTTTTTCTGAAAGAGTACTGGTATTAAAAATCTGTAATAAATATAGGATATTCCTAATATTAATTTATAAGACATATCGCTGCAATGATATTTATGACTTATTTATTACTTAATTCACATAGTTATACAAATACATTGGAATATTGTTATTTTAAATTATTAAATCTTTTATTCGTTGCTATTTGTAAAAGTACGTACTTGTATAATAGGTAATGTATAATAACTTATATAATAATGAATAAGATTATTATTATTTTTGGTATATGTGGAACCTATATATTTATTAGCAATTTTATTATATTAAATATTTTCTTTTATAAATATCGATATATTTGTCGTATACTGTAGTTTATTTTTCTCATATATAACATTAGTTGAAATATAAATCAATTATACAATATGGATTATTATATGTAAGAAGTAGTAGAGAATTTTCTTATAATTGATAGAAATACGTTAATTAAATTAAATTTTTTAATCCATATAAAGAGACACAATTTATATATTCATATTAAAAATTGATTAATTTTAATAGTATTTTAAATAAGTCTATTATTATGTAAAACTGGATTTATTTGGATTTAACTTTCATTCAGCGACATACACTGAGAGAAATGCAATTAATATTATAAATAAGTGATAAATCATTATTAAGAAAAATATGTGTTTGTTACAAATTATAGTAGTAATTATTAAATGCAAACTACATTAGGACAAATTGTATTGTATTAGGAAATCAATAATTAATGGTTAAGTATAAATTATAAGGTGATAGTGAATATGTAATAGCATTAAAATTATAAGGTTCTGAATATGAATAGGCGATTGTTCTTGTTTGGTCAGCATAGAAAGTAGAAAATTACTGTATAACTGTTCTTTATTTGTCCATCGTATAATTTAAAAATCTTAACAGTAATCTCTTTTTATTTGAATTTAATTGTAAAACAAGCAAAATGATTAATTTTTTACATCATAATAATGGAGTCTGTATTATATTTATCATGCTATTCTTGTAGCTCTATATGCTCTATAAAACCGAATCGGTGCTTTGTATAGAAATATAAAGAATAGAGTGATACTTTTCTAAAATTTCTCAAAACATAATTACTTAAAGTATATGTGCAGTTAGTTGGGTAGTTGGGTGGTAGTAGTAGTACCAGTGAGAATTATATAGCCGTTAGGACCTGTTAATTTTAATTTATATAAACATATTTATGATAATAATTTATTTTCTATACAAAAATTATATATTTATCCTAAAATGCTATTTCAATAAATATTTATTTTCAGCTTCAAAGGGTTCCTTCAGAATTTTCAAGAAGAAAAAGAACATTATACTACCTATTCTTATATTACTAAATTTATTAAAACTTAAATTATTGATCTTCCCAATTTTTCTCGGAGTACATTTTATTAAAAAGCTCTTGATACTTGGTTCCCTTCTATTACCATCCATACTTTCACATTTAAAAATCTGTAAAATAGCGCAACAACCTTTTCCATATCATCATTGGCAACCTCCTGGTGCAGAATATGCTTTGGATTTTTCACACGGTAATTAAATAAATTATAATTTGGTAAATATTGTACTGTACGGAATTTCTACTGATATTCTACGAAATACAAATATTATACTAATTTTTTTTAATTTTAATCAATGAGACTCAGTTCTTTTAATGTTGATTAAAAATATATAACATCGCATATAAAATGGTTATATTATCGCATATAAACAATTTTATTCGCCATTTCAACTTTAATATTAATTTATATTAATTGTCTTGCCTAACAATATTTCCATAGATACAAAGTACAAAAAATAATATCCCTTAATATTTAACGTGAAATTTAATTTTAAGTCTAAACGTATTCAGTATAAATAGTTTTTTTCATTGCATATTAGGTGCTATTAATATTGCATTTTAATATAACGATTTAAAGTATAACATGTTACCAATTATTTAAGTAGAAAGATGTCTAGTATTTAGATTTAAGTTATTATTATTATAATAGTTCATTTATAAAATATGATTCGTTTGTGAAATTAAATAAATATACATTTCAAATTTGTACAACTGTGTAGTGTATATTTTGATTATTTTTGAATTATAGTTTTTATCTAATTACAGCTTATGGCCAACAAGATTCCTGGGATCACAGAAATGATGTACTAGGAAATGCTTACGATAGTTATTACGATCACAGTTTGTACAATCCATTTTCTTATTATTTTCAAAATTACAATAAAGAGAGACGGTGATATTTTTCAAGATCAAATGTATGTGAATTATTTATCAATAATACGTGTATTTCTATTTGGAGAGATTGTAATTTATAGCGATGCGAATGTTACTTTTTTCATCAGGCATTATTTAAGCATTTAATAAATATATAGAGAATTAATATGTAATGTAAATAAAAAATAATATTTTTTGTATACTTTAAATATAAATTTACTCAGAAAATTTATAAATAAAGCTAATAATTCACGGTGTGCAATTATATATATATATTATCCGTTGCAAAATTAAAGTTAAAAATAAAATAAATGTCTTTGAAATTACTAAAATAATTATTTAACATACGATAGTTACTTATTTTCAAATAAACAATATAATCATATCTTTTTGTAAAAAAGAAATGTACTTTATTTATACATAATAATTAATAATTAAAAACTAAGTGATTACTTATTTCGTAAACATTTTTACAATGTAATATATTTGTGCAGAAAGTAATTAAATTTTAATAATTAAATTATAATATATTATCCAATTATGCAATTAAAAGTGATTTTCATCAATTTTATCTTTCAAACATAATATACAATATTTAATATCTTTTTACACAAATACCGTTAATAGTGACATTTATTTAATTACAAAATTATTTGAAAAATAAATCGTTCTACCTTTAATTAAATTAGTTATTAAATACATTTAATAATATAGCCAAAGTTGTAATAATTAATTTTATTATTAATAATAATATTCGTACCTTTTCGCATATTCTTTATACATAAAGAATATGTTAATATTAAAAGTTTAAGAGATATTTATCAACTTATCTCTAAGGGTTTTGAAGTTACTTCAATCAATGCTTATTTAATTATAATTTTTTTTAATATTAATAGTTATTAATTATATATATGGAATAATATGTTTTAATAAATACATTTAAATAAATTTAATTTACTATAATTGATTTATTTTATTTTTAATAAGTGACAAATTCAAATAAGGAAACTCAGTCATTATATTATTCATAATAATCAAATATTATTTAATTCATTTGGATAATGGAAATTAAATATTGATTAAATATTATTTTGAACAACCAAACCAAAAATTATTAGCAAAATACATATGTATTGATTAGTAAAATTCTCATCTTATACATTTATAAATATTATTTAAAAAAATATAAGATGAATTTCAAATAGAGGTGAGTAAAGAGAGTCTTCTTTGTGTTATTTCTTCTAAAGTTTCTTATTCGAGGAACTTAGAAAAATATTCTGTTATTCAATAATTTAGAATGTATATAAATTAATATATTAAAATTGTATAATAGAATCAATCAAATCAATCAACCCGACAAAAACTTTAATGCTTTCTTATTTAAATTTTGCATCTCTGTAGATTCATTAATATTGAATGTTTCCTTACTTTTTCGCGCCTTCTCTATTGATGTTACTTTGTCTTCAATTATTTCGCGTATAATGATTTTCGTTATTTTAATCAAAATTTATAGCCTCTTATAATTTCATATTCTGAAAATATTACCCAATGAAAGATAATTTTTACTATTATGTATCAATTACTAAAAGTATTCTAGTAAAAATGTTATTATTCTAACTAATTGATTAATGATTATGATAGCATTATATCAATTAAAATTTTTTACCATTTTAATATTGATCAAAGTATGTTCATAAATTATTATTTATATATCATTATATGTTGAATCTTTATTCTTCTATATGATTCTAAGGCAGAAATTTATTTCTTAAATTATTTTGATTAACAATGAATATAAAAACAGAAAAATATGGTCCCATATTATTATTTTAGTTGTTAATAATAAATAGTATTTAATATAAAATATAATGTTAAGGAAAAATAGATTATACATACATTTCGATAAAAATATTCATCAATATTTTATTTATCAATGTGTTCGTAATAAAATTATCATTAATAGTTGGATAGAAAAACTGTATTAAATAATAAATTGATAATTAACTATTAATTAAATGGATGAAAATAAAATGAACAAATAAATCTTAAATTGAAAGGACTGTACAATGAATTTATTTTTAAGAATATTTTTTAGAGCAATTATTTTCAAAGAATGTCAAAACTAAGTCTCACTTATTTGTAATAGTTGGGCTTTAAAATATGTAAATTATTTATTGTTTATTAATGAATTTGTTCATATATTCTACATAATTCATAAATATTAAGTTATTTATTATGTTCCCTAAAATATTGCATTCTTAAATACAATTATAATGATTTTTTTATAATTTGCAACAATTTTCTGTTTAATTACAGTATTTTTCGAAATTAATATTATAATGAACTTAATATGTATGTACAATTAAAGAATAAATATATACATGTATACATGCGTTTCTAATATATAAAGTATATAGAAGTATAAAAATTAAAATAATAACTAGTTTATGTACAAAACATAATGTTAGTATTGTCACGTATTTTAAATGTAAATGTACACATTTTTATGTTATTTTGGCCTTATATTAATTAGAATTACTTTTAGTAGTACAAATTTTAGAAAAATATCTCATAATAATTCATTAAGCGCAGTTTAATAAAATATGCAAATATTATTGATACGAGAAGTAAACTTTTTAACCCGTAAATTGAAAAACTTAACCTTTCTCTGAAGGAATTCAGGAAGTGGCACAATTTCTGAAAAGAACTTGTTTAAAAAAGGTAAATTACAAAATTTCGTTCTATTAGAAAAGTTTATGTATTATATAATATAATAATTCAAATGAATTGTTATTATCAAAGAATTGTATATTAAATTTAGTTATTCTATATTATTTTGTTTAAATATTGTAATATATTTCTTTTTAGATATTTGTTCATTTTATGCATATCATTATTCATAAAAACATTATTTAAATATATTAAAAAAAATTTTGTAGTATATTAATAATAATAATGTTTTTAGAATTATTTAAAAAATATTAATATAGAATATAAATTATTATAACAATTAATCGAAATATGGAAATTATATAGCTGTTATAATATTATTAATACTTATCAAATTTTATTTCATGTACATATAATTTTATATAATCTAATATAAATAATTGAATCTCAATTAAATTACAATAAAAATTTTAAATAAAACAATAACATTTTTATATTGTGTGATAAGCTTTATAACATTATATATATATATATATATATATTTTTTTTTTATTTTATAAATTTGTTTCAAGGGTGCTTGGGATACTATTTGAATGAAATTAAATTTTAAAAACATATAAAACAGTCCTTTTGTCAGTAAAAAAAAGAAAAAAAATGATTGAAACGTTTGAATTACATATAACTGGTTACGTAAACTATATTAATTATCAACATTAATTAATTACATGAGACAGAGCACAAATGAAGATTGCTTGAAAATTAATTATTTCAGTGCTGTTCTATATATACTAAATGAACAGAAAGTATTTTATAATATTATTACAAGTATTAGATTACCGTAATTGTATTTCTTTTAATATTAAAATCTATCTACATTGGATACAATTGAATTATCATTAGTTGCACATTCGTACAAAACCAGTTTGCTACTGTCTCGTTGGCTTTGAAAAGAACCTCATATCAGAGTGTGTAAGCTCTATATCTGGTGCCAAGATGAATGCAATTCTTTGGTCAAGGTCACGTATTATATATGCCTTATGCACGTGTATATGTACGTGTGTGCGATGGTAATTTCGTCCCCTGTGCGACTGACCTATAAGCAGATTTGTAGTAAACACCAGGTGTATATTCAGTTGATCTCATTCGCTGGGTTCATGTATTGGTAATTTTTCGTTCACGTCATTCATTTCTCAGTATAAACTTCCTCCTTGCAAACTTTCAAATGAGTTTATTTTGTGAAATACTGACGGGAACATTTTCCTTCATTTCATTCCATTGATTTTTTAAATAGAAAACCTGTTTTAAAGGAAACGACAAAATTATTGGCCACATGTCCAGAGACGTATTATTTAAAATTTTTTAGTAAATGTAATGCTTTTTTTCTTATTATGTACTTTTATTGTGAACAATGCATGATAATATATTTTTAATGTTATACCAATGGAAGGATGAGAATCGAGTATTATAATTGCCATATTAATAATCGATAAATATCGCAATAATTAAATGTGATCATGGCACTTACAAATAGCATTTAATATTAAAAATAATATAATTCTTAATAAAAAATATTATAAGAATTAAAAGAAAGCTTAATACTAACTACAACAAGCATTTAATTCAATTTTTATATTGTATAATTGTTATTTTCTCCGAGTATCATAACAATAAAATATCCGATTTCAATGTAAAAAGTATCTCATTAATTTTTTTTAATGTTTAAACAAATACAACATGAATGAAAGGAATAACATGCTTTGCCATTTATATCGAATATAATACATTTATGCATGTTATGATTTATTTTAATTATGGCTATATTTGTTCATACAGTTAAAATTGCTGAGTTTTTTTTTATAATGTCATATTATTAAAATACTATTAACCATATATAATTTTTGCTCGCTCATGTTATTAATTATATTATGAATAATGGCTTAAATTACAATTTATGTAAGCATTTGTGGATTAAATAATATGCAGTATAACAAAATTTTATTACATTCTTAGAGAGTACAATGAATTTGAATCATACAATATTAATAATATAATTTTATATATAAATAAATAAACTGGATTTAACACTTCATACAATTGCATATAATCTCTCGATTAATTGCTGTATATAAGCATTATATTATTTTATAGCTTTATTAATTTATTTTAATTAATAATTTATTTAACCAGTTTATTAAATCTTGCTGCACGTTATTAAAACTCGATAACATTTTAATATTTGTATTCTATAAAATTAGTAAAATTCTATACAATATTCATTTAATATTCAGACAATGTTATATTCGTATCTTAATATTATTAAGTTATAAGTTTCTAATTGGTAATGGTAATACGTTAGATTATAGGCCATTTAATATTTATGATTTCTTTCAAGTTTAATATCTAAAATTATAATATATTAAAAGATAATTATTTTATAGTCTAGAAGATTTTTTCT